GGGGGGGGGGGGGGGGGAGGTGATTTGTGTGGTTGTGGAGTCGGCCGCATCCTGTTGGCGTGCACCATTCTCCCAATACTCACATGAACAATGTCGTTGTGCTTAATTCGAAAATACTTGAAATTTTCGTGATGGGAATTGCACATATTTTCGGCAAGAATCTCGACGAAGCTCCAACATGTGTGTATGTGCTGCTGTTGTCATGGTCGTTTTTCACCATCTTATCAAGGGAAATCAACCCAGAAACCTCTCGCCCTCTCCGCGCGCCCCCTCGCAGATCCCGCCGACAGGCCCCACGCGCGGCACTACGCCGTGTGTTTGGAAACCCAGCACTTCCCCGCCGCGGTCAACCACGAGGGTTGGATGGAATCGGTCCTGCTGAAGCCCGGGGAAAAGTACCTGGAGAGGACAAGACACGTCTTCACCGTGCAGGGTAGATCGTAGTTCCGTCGAAGCGCGGGCTTCGAACATCGACGGCAGAGCGTGCTGTAGATCACGAGTGCCCGAGGCTGTGTGTACCTTTGTCACCGTCGATGGCGTGCGTGGGGTGGATCAGTCCACTACTTCTGTGGAAGTGTTTTGAGATGACTCGGGCCTGCAAAGCGTAAGCTTTGACTGTAGAGTTCGTACACGGGTCCCGCATTGCCACGCGACTGGTTCCTTTGGAGTAATAAAATCAGTCGTGCTCCTGCTACAGTGGAGCGCTTTGAAAGGTGCACATCGCAAGAGGTTGGGAGCTTGTGCTTAAACCAGGGTTATTGCCGGTTGGAGCCATCAGCTCGGTGTGACGTTGGTTAAGCCTCCGGTTCTCCAACTATCTTTTGTTTGCGTCAAGTGGAGGGATGTTGTGTCATCATGTCGTTTGTTGTTGTGGCTACTGAAAAGGTGTCACGCGCATGCATGTTGTCATGCGAACAAGCACAGCTAGATGCTCAGGTGTCTATTTGTCCGAGTTGCCTTGCCCGCCCATACCTATTTTGGAACCCTAGGGCCACAAGGTACAATATCAAAGTTGCCGTAGCATGGGGACACCATGAGTGTGTCACATGAGGAACGCCTTTGCTTCTTTGGGACGTCGACGGAGTGGGATACCCTTCCCGATCTGAAGTTGTGGAACCTTTACATTATTGCCGTCGCCGGAACAGGCTCAGAAGTTGGCGATGAGTATGAAAATCGACTACACACCAATAGCGAATGAATACGCCGCCGCCGCGGATTCTACCCTAAACTCTACATACATCCACCATGTGGTATTTCCCGCGAGGATATGTTTCTCGTGGGGCGCCAGAAGATTATTTCCAAACCAGCGCATACTGCTGTGCATACCAGCACGAACTGCTCTCCTCTTGACGTGAAGATCGCCCCGTGCAGCATGTATGTCCGACAATGTAAGACCAACCGGTGATTTGCCGCCTGAGTCATGAAGCATCCTGGAATCCTATTTTCGGTTGAGTCATACTCATGCAAGTTACAGCAGTTACATTCACAGACTACAAGACTCGAGTGACCTTCTTTCTGGTTTCTCCTGATTTCAGTTCACTCATGATGCGTAGGGTCTATCCTCTGCTTTCATTTCACAACTAATTGGGCAAACTACTGTACCAACTGGTTTATGATAGACTTAAGGCGTCGGCGAAGCGCCAACGTTGGGTCGCGAGAAAAAATGTCTTGCTCAGTCACCCCCGCCGAGCATGGGGAACTACTGCTGTTACTTAAGTCTCAAGTCTGGACTGTTGGTTTCACAGCCACAGCAAATTATACAATGATTCGAATTATTGTATTATGATGGACGATAGCTCGACCTGGACTTCTGAGTTGTTATTCAAATGAAAAAACTGCCATTGAAAAAAATCAGCTCGATCGAACCAGACCGGTAGGACAAGCTCCGCCCTATCCGCGGGTATTGCGGTATGTGCTTGTTTGCTGCAGCTACGCCCGGCAGATGTGCTATGCAATTACAGCAGTGAGAGAGCTGAGAACGCACGAGCCCCTTCCAAGCCAACACCAGATTGTCTGCAGTTGGTGCGAATCTCATTGGCCAAGATCAGCAGTCCCGAAACGTCCTCCGTCACCAGCGTTCCAGCTTTCCGTCTTCCACAGCCACGGACCACCATTCTTCTACGGTCTGCTGCTGACGGTCCGACTCTCTGCTGTGCTGCGATTATCAGCGACATCGATAGCCAGTCCAGTTCACGATCCACGGGAAGGGGGGTAGCCGCTGCGCGCTGAAGATCGGCACCGGGACCTCAACTACCCGAATCATGGTCTACGTACTGCACAGATGTGGGACACGTTTACGGAAATGTTCTGAATTAATATCAACCATGGTCGCGATTGCGGTATCCACCAGGACCCTAACGATCGCCCGCCCCGCAGTTGGTTGAAGGGTATTCCATCCGGGGAGAAGGGTACTCTGAAGGCTTAGAAAACGAGCAAGTAGTCGTGCGTGGTGTGGTGTCCTCGTTTTTCATCACACATGTTGTGTCATCGTGTTTATTTTTCTCGAACAAGCGAGGTATGCAGCACAGTGGGTCTCTGCTGTTCTTCCCGGTGCGGTCGTGCGCGCTCTTTGTTGTTGGTGGCATCAGCAACGACACTGTGTTATAAAGAGGGCAGAGAGGGTTCAGGCAGGTCGTTGCAGACCCAATCGGTGTGCTCTCTCTCTCGTCGAACGGGGTTGGTTGGTTGCTTTGCTGCTGCTTTGGTTGTTGTCGTTGGGTAATCTTCACGGACCCCTGCTCTGAGGGTCTCAGACCAAATCCTTTGCGACGATCACACGACATGCCGATGCCCGGTTGTGCCGCTGGTAGCTGGGCTGACTTCCTAATCTTCGTGTTCGGATGCGGCGGGCGCAGGAAGGAGGTCGCGGCAGTGCAGGGCCGGTCGGCGGCGGAGCGGACAGCAGCAACAGGCGATGCCTTCGACCCGGCGAAGCCACCGCCCCTGCTGCAGCACGGGAATTTCGGCCGTGGGGTGTTTTTCTTCGCGGCGGGCAGCGGCGGCGGCAGCGGCGGCGGCAGCGGCGGCGGCAGCGGCGGTAGTGTTACTACGACTCCCTCAAGGGATTCCGATGACGCTTATTCGGGCAGGGGTAGTGCGGCGGGTGGCTTTGGCGCCAGCAGCAGCGAGGCTTCTTCGCGCCAACATAGCAACAGCAGCACAGCGGTGGTAGCGGTGGGGAAGATTGAACCGGTTTTCTGCACGACGAACGAGGCGGCGTTGGGCATGGCCCGAAGCAACAACCATAACAAAATAGTAGGCGGCGGGAAGAAGAGAATTCCTCAGGATACGGAAGGGCCTTGGACACGAGACGGAGGGGCGCTGGCTCTGGAGGGGGAGACCGGAGGGGATAAGAGTAACAGCTCTGGACAACAACAGCCGAAAGCGGGGCAGCAGCAACAGCTGCGGCAGCGGCGGGCGAAGCCGTCCTACAGGTAATTTGGAGATATATGCACTATGTATCGCTCCAGCTGCTGAGTTACCAGGAGCATTCAAATTCTGGCTTGGTAGCTACATGTTGCAGCACACAGGTTGTGACTGCTGTACCTTGGTCTGCTGCCGCTGCTGTAGCTGTACATTGAAGTGTTCTCCAGGTGGGCATGTGTAAAAAATGCATCCTCATGTCCTTTGTATTCCAAACATGTCGCCTCGTCCATCCTCCGAATGTATTCTTGCAGCCCTTTTGTTTGGAATATTGCGTTTGTATCGAGGGCTGGCTTCTATCTTGACCAAAACAACCGGGCTTGCCCTACCGTCAACCAAGAGATCATACATCATAACGTCCGTTGGGTGCGGAGAGAAGCCGCCTCTCTCTGTTGCCGCCACGCAATCCACATGAATCCATATGCGTACAACAACTTTTATGTGTGTGCAGCACGCCATCCATACATACCAAATGTACCACCGCCTGGGACGCGATTGAATTGTTCAGACTGGGGACTGGGGCTCTGTATCGCTTCCCACAAACCATGAATATGTACAATAGTGTATGTGCTCCGCTCTGTATGTAGCGACCCTCGTCTAATGTACTACTGCTATTGTTTGTTTTTTTTCTCCCATCATTAGACTCTGTCGTCTGCCCCTCTGGCCCCTACCCTCCACTTCTACCAGCTAGACAACCCAACCGGCGTCGCATAGGAGGGGGGGGTTGGACCCCTTCCTGCGGTTCCTGCCTGAGATATTATTATCGCGAGAAGGGTACAGCAATCCCTTCCCTCACGACTTATGAAGTCGGTCAAGTTTACTAACAACGGTTTACTAACAACGAGCTTTGGAGCGCGTCGCTTCCAGCGGAGACCAGGTTTAATTAGAGAGAAAAATTTCACTCTGTCGGAACCCGAACCCATGACCTGGCCCTTAGCAGGCTGCGAGGCTACCCATTAGACCACCGGGGCGACCGGTGCGTCTGTATGCACCGCCCGACCTTGGTTCCAATCCAAAACAACCGCCGGGTTGCCTCTCCGCCAGTGTGTTTGTCCCCCGATTTTTGTCTGCAGTCCCTCGAACCCCTCCCATCATACAGTACACACAGCAGTTGCGTTGTGTCCTTCCCCTGTGGACAACCATTAAAGCAGCTATTCATACAAGTACGTACATCGCTGAATGGTATCGCCACCGAAGAAATTCAAAATTCGGCTCTTTGCTGTGCTCGATTCATTTTTTTTTTTTTGCATTCGTTTGGCATTCGTTTGGGAGTTCCCCTTGTGTGGGATTGTCGGCAGATGGAAATCGAATCTACGCGCATCTAACAGTAAAACAGACGGAGCGTCTACTAGAAGTCCCATCTATGTGTTCTGGCGCCGATCTACACACCCTTCGCGTGGACATGAGTTGATGGTGATCAGCCGGGGCCACACAGGGCGAGAAGAGGATGACGGCACACGCGAAGAAATAAAGTTTTATCAATAAACCATCAGTGACATGATGCATGGAGAGGCACGGGTTGTGTGGACCCAAACCCAAGTGCAGCACCGTAGGTATCCCGATATAGTGCCGGTTGAATAGTGCCAAAGTCCGGTATAGTGCCGGTAAATTTTCTTGACACAGACACAGGCCTGAATAGTGCCAAACCGTCACTATTGAGGGCTGCCCGCTAAAGTGCCGGTTCACGCACTATCGAACCCCTCAACAGTGCCGGTTTCACACCCCACACACAGCCTTTTTTCGCCTCAAGCCTTCCACGCCGACAGGATTCGGAGACGGTTTCCCTTCGAGCTACAAGTATAGCTCGGTTTCTCTCGATACGCGTGACGTCTTCAAATGTCAGGGTTTACGGATCGACTATAATAGGTTCCACCAACAGGCTGGGATTTCAGTACGGAGGCGAGCGAAAAAGAAGATGGTAGTGACGAAGGATGGATATGGAACCTATAGCCAAGGATAGCAGTGATGATGCAGGAGAGAAATATGGCGTTGAGGGGAACAACAAGAGTTTCGAGCGAGATGACCTTCCTCACAACAAACGCCGCAGGGGCGCAGAATCCCGAGATGAAAGCCCGAAAAATAGTGGAAAGATGTTAGTGAGAGTGTAGTCGTGGTGAATAAAATACTTCTAAATCCAAATAAGGAAGGACGAAAACACTCCGAACAGACGCGTGTTCAAAAGTAGTAAACCTTGGCAGTCACGTCGTTCTCCTCTCTCGGTTGCTACCATTTCTATCTTTTATCCAGAGAATAGCTCAGCCTCCTCCATGACACCCTCTTATTTCCTGGACAAACAAAAATTTTCTGTTTTTGACCGCACTGAGACAGACGACGACGACGACGTCTTTTGGTTTGCCAGTCGCTTTTATTGCTTTTGAAGGCTTGGTCGTCTCTCTAGCTTTTCATCGAAGGAACAGGGGAGTTCGTTATCTTCTTGCCCCCTTTTTGAGGTTTCATCTGCTTTTGTGTGCTCAAGTAAGGAGCACTACATCCATCCATGTTTTTCTTCCAAATGTACACCGGGTGCATGCATGAGCGTCTTTTGCTGTCCGGGGTGCCTTTGAGGTTGCCCGAAGAATAATAGTGCTACGGTCTTCTTGCAATACAACACATAATAATTTGATAGCGAGGTGAACTTATATCGGGCAGCACAGTCTGCGGTTGAAAGGCAGCAGCAACGTTTCACTAGCGAGTGCTTGCGCTGAGGTGGGAAAGAACAACTGCTGTGCAACAAATCTATCTGGTCAATCAGGTCAATTTTAATGTGACCAATGTCGTGTTTTTGACAGTCCAAGAGCCTCACGAAACTTCATGAAGCCCGCCCACGTCGCCCACGTCGCCCACCTCACGATTGATCCAAACACCGTTCGTTTGGTACTCTGTCAGCCCCGCAAAGCGCAAGCGCTGCACTCTGAAGTCGAACAGTCCTGAATAGTGCCAAGCCGGCACTATTGGGGGATTTTCGGGCCCTGAATAGTGCCGTTTGGCACTATTCAGGCACAATTCTGAATGGTGCCGGTGCCCGGTAAATTGCCGGTCAAATCGCCTGGACATATACCGGCACTATATCGGGATACCTACTGTAGCCTACTGGGTCATTTCCAGGCCCAATGCCAAAGATGTTTTTCACTCCAGAGAGGGAATCACACCAAAACCTTGTTTTTTGCGCGATGCCCGTCGCCTCCATGAGGGGTCACCCGACAGCGAATACTGTATATATTCGCGGAGACAGACATGGACATGTGCATAGCTGAGCACCGGTTAATATTATGTTGATCTTATTTTACTTTCGACTTTTTTTCGAGCCTGAGTTCTTAGCTCCCAGGTTCTTGCAATACGTCGTGGCTTGTTCTTTTCCAGTAGGCCTGTGACAGAGGTCAGCCATCAGGCTTCCCGAGCGTGACGGATGTTTTCCGTCGCGCTTGTCGTAGGGGGGGGGGGCGCAACTGACGTGTTTTGCGGAGCGTTCGTCGCAAGGCTCGTGGAAAGGTTCGATTTGTTAGTATGGCCGCGGCAGTGAGTGCATCGTCCCCGTTGATGCCTTTTTTGAGCAGTTTCCAACGAATGAGATGGGACAGGGCACCGATCGACACCGCTGGAGGCTGCGCCGAGAGCATGCGTTGCCTTTCTTGAACCACACGTCTTCAACGAGCGGCTGTGTTGAACCACCACAACAGCGTGCTTCTTGTCCGGACAGCAGTGCATATTCGTCGAGGAGCGTGTTCCCTAAGAGGCGGAGACATGGCAACCCCCCCCCCTTAGATCGACTTTCGAAGCTCATTTGCTCCTGAACCAATGGGGCGCGGAAAGAGAAGAGGCCGATACGTCGAGGGAAAGGCCTCCATGAGATTGTTCCCAAACAACTATTCGGGTGTTGGCACAAGCTCAAGCTTGGTTGCGAAGCTATCGACATGTGAATGCCGGTCCATAATAGTGGGGGTACCACCCATCTCTCCGCCTCTTGCCGAAGTCCAGCTTCCATCTACGAAATCTCCCCCCCAGCGTCAAGGAAATGGGTAACACAGATAGAGTTAGTTCATGATGGCGAATCCTGTGCATCGGTTCTGAGCTTCCCCGCGTCTGACGTTGCGTTGACATGTGTATATGCAAATCCTCGCCCAAGTAGAGAGTGAGATCCAACCAATTGCTCGATGATTTGGACGACGCAAATGACAGACGGAAGAGCTCAGGGGTTCGGCACACAGCTGCGGCGTTCGGCAAGGCTGCCATCGCACCGCGTCGTCACTCAGTCGATTCCGCCGAAAGTCCAGCATTGCAGGCACCATCGTCGTCGGTGACCCCTTTGGAGCAGGCAAGTGGAGGAGGGGAGGCTCCTTGACTGCTATGGGAGCAATGAGAGGAAGAGGGGGTTCGTTGGTCGGGGGCTCTCATGTTTTCGGTTATATGTCCGGTTTTCACAGCTTTGTTGTGATTTCGCCCGCGATGTGTGTAGTAGGTCTTGGGTGTTGGTGTGGGTAGCCCTCAGGGGGCGCGTGCGACATGCTTCTACGGAGCGGGGCCTTTGGCGGCCTGAACCTTTCGAGCAGGAGAGAGAGGGGTATAGAGGTGAGAGGTGCGATGAAGTTGTCCTCCTGCCCCTCAACCTAACCCGTCAGCCGAAAAACATCGTTGCCCGTTCCTTTTCCTCATTTATCCGGACGGGCGGTCTTCGAACAGCAAACATGCCTGCTTGTGTCTTCGCGAACTCATTGTCAGCAGCAGCGACAAACAGCCTCGAAGACCTTCGAAGTGGCCTTTCATCTCTTGGGTGCCTTTTTCGTTTTTTTTGGTTGGATTTTGTTTGTTTTGTTGCCGTCGTTTTTGCACGATGACCAGAACAAGCAGCTGGTCCGGCACCTCAGCAACGGGAACAACTTCGAAAAGGTGTTCAAGGGTGTGTTGGATAGGGTACGGGGTATGGGTACGGGTACTGTACCCAACGTACCCAGAATATAGGTACGGGTACGGGTCCTGTACCCAACGTACCCAGAGTTTGGGTACGGGTATGGGAGTCTTACCCAACGTAACCAAATTTTGGTTACGGGTACGAGAGTCGTGTCCAATGTACCCGGGTAACCCGGGTAGATGATGCGTGGGTATGGGTATTTTGGGTATGGGTACGGGTGTGATACCCATATTTTGGGTACGTTGGGTCCGGGTACGAGAGGTCGTACCCAACGTACCCAGAAATTGGGTACCGTGTCTAAACGTTGGGTACGGGTACATACCCGACAAATACCCAAATTTTACCCGGGTATGTACCTTACCCAACACACCCTGGGAAGCGTTCATTATTGCCAGCCTCATGCATACGACTCGCAAGCCTCTCTGTTTTTGTGAATGATGGTTTCTTTGGCTTGTTTGTTTTACCCCCGCTGTTGTTTTGCACGACGGACAGAACAAGCAGCTGGTCCGGCATCTCAACAACAGCAGGAGCTTTGGCAGCCTCGGCAGCTTCAACACCGCGGGCGAGAGCGATTACTCAGTCAGAAACAGCGCCTTCACGAGGACGCCCGGCCTCAGGCGAAAAAGGCAAGCAAGGCAAACGCGCAGCCACAGAAGCACACTGGCCGCCGTAGGGAAATACGTGTGTAGCCGTGGCCATGGGCGGGAGTTAGTTGACCTACGGCATGCGGTGTTTGAAGCAGTGGTGGGCCCGGTTTACCATCCCCTACTGTGAGGAGGGAATATGGTCGCCAATTGAAGGGCATGCAGCTAACTCCCTAGCGGGAGCCTTGTAGGATAGAACGTTTTGCTTTCTTGTCGCCTGGAAGGAAGCAAGACAATTCAATAGTTCTCGGAATACCCTTCGCGAGAAACCGTGGCTGTGAGTGAAGTACGTTATATCATTTTTCCTTCCAGGACATGAAACCTGATATCTCCCCGCGTCCCTGGCCACGCCTTCCTTCATCTTTGCAACCCGTCCGTCCGCTAACAAAAAAAAAAAAAGGGTGGAAAGGGTGGTGATTCTCGCCGCCAACATGACGGACCAAATGCAGCAGGACGCGAAGGAGAGCACCGCTCGCGCGATGGAAGAGTCTGGCGACCACGAGGTATCTAGTTTTTGGTGTAGGGGTGCGACGGCTTTGGCAGGTCTGTTGCTGCGGATGCCACATTGTTGAGTCGGTGCTGCTGCGGTTGCGAGTTCATTCCGAAAGGAGGGTTGTTTTCATTACAGAACCGGCGGTTTTCATGCATTCCGAAACTACAATAAATAGCGTATTTTCATTCCGAAACTGGCGTTTTCATTCCACCAACGGCGGCTTCATTCCTCCCGAAACTGGCGTTTTTCATTCCGAAACTGGTGTTGTTCGTTCAGAAACGGCCGGTTTCATCCTGAAGCAGGCAGTTTTCATTCTGAAATCGGCGACTTCATTCCGAAACAAGACGTTATTTTCCGAACTGGAGTTTTTTTGTCCACAGTATTTGACGGCGTTGGCGCCGCACAGGCTACGGTGGACGGGAATCGATGGTGTGCCTTAGGGGTGTTCAGCTCGTCTGTCCATTATCCCTCTGCCACGCACACTCGAAATCCTGCTTTGCGGTGGAGGCAGCAGTATATCGACCAACGTTTGCTCCTCTCACGCAGCAAAGCGCCGCGCACCTGATGTCATTCGATACGACCGTTTTTTTCGGGCCCGATTTTCTTGAGGCCATCCAACCCCACTCACTCTCCCATACCGTCGCTCCCAGATTTGTTATTTGTCTGTTGACCCCACCTTCGACCGACCGCCCTGTCATGGTGTGAAATTCCTTTTGGTGTTTCTTTTTTTCGCTGACAGGACATCGCCGCGTACATCAAGAAAGCCTTCGATGAGCAGCACGGTGCGAAGTGGCACTGCATCGTCGGGAAACACTTCGGGTCCTTCGTCACCGCGCAGTCGAACGGCTTCGTGCACCTGCATCTCGGCAAGGTGGGGTGCTGGAGGGGGGGGGGGGTACTCATAGTCGTGCATGCCGTAGTCGTTGGACCATTGACCTCGCATCCCTACAAAGCC